CGCACAAAAGAATTTGACATTGCTGAACAAATGCAAAAACAGGAAGCTGGAATTACTTGGTCTCAATTACTCCAACTTCCTGAAATGAAATGAACCCTTATGAAGAATTTAAAAGTATCTAGAAAAGTAAATGTAAAAACAGCTGACCAAGAATATCGATCACGAGTCACCTCACTCAAATGTACTATTGATATTGATGGTTATACAGTACCTGCCATTGTTAATAGTGGTGCTACTGTAAGCATGATTACGCGAGACACAATGGAACAATTAGGATACTCCATAGATGAACCTTCAAACAGTGTAATTTTATCTGCTATTGAAGAAGGTACTTGACCCCTAGGAGTTATTAAAGATTTTTCAGTTATTGTTGTAGGATATACTATCCCTGTTGATGTAGAGATAACTGAAGCAACCACCTATACTCTCATTTTAGGAAATAATTAGTTGTTAAAAGCCAATGGAAATTATAATTGACAAAGCCAGGAGTTAACTTTAAAATGGAAAAATCAACATTTGGTTTTATCTGCCTTCTGCATACGAGAAAATTTAGCAGAAATCCCTGAAACTACTAGTGAAGAGGAAAGCGAAACATCTGATGAAAAAATTGAAAGTGATAACCAGCATGAAAATGAATTTTCCGAAATTGAGGAAGATGATGAAGATGAAACTTTTGAAGACTACATTGAATATTCCGAAGAGAAAATAAATTCTTCCGAAAGGAATGAAAATGAAAGTGATGATAATAACGAAAATAAAATTGAAAATGATACAGAAAGTGATACTTCAGATTCTATTGAGTCTGAAGATGAGGAAAGCAATTTAGAATCAGAATCTGAAAGTGATAGTGATAATGATAAGGATATTTTGGATGAGATCCCTATAATGATGGGAGACTCATTAGTTAAAACTGAATTGAATGTTGATACCTTAAGTACTAAACAACAAGAACAATTCAATCAGTTACTCAAGGAGAATCAAGATATGTTTGTAACCGATATTAGTCAATTGGGACGAACAAATATCATTCAACATAAAATTGATACTGGAATTGAGAAACCTGTAAAGCAAAG